TTGTTGTTTGGCGGGTCCGGGCTGGGGATCCGAACCCGCCACCTTAGGTGTACGTGGCTGGCGCCTTAGCCGGTTGAGCTAAAGGCACCGAGCCATAATATTTGTTTTTTAGATTATCTATAATAAATATGTATTTTGTAAGAAAGTAGTTTAAAAATGTCTTCTCAAGAGTTTATTCCCCATCAAACCAAATGTCTACAAGAGGCAGCTATAAGGAGTGGTAGCATTGGTAAGAATTAAAAGTGCTCTTTTTTTCCAATAGTTTATGATTTTCAATTTCTACAATGTATCACTTCTACTTTTAAACTAATTTATAAAAGGAAATTTTATTAACACCTATGGAACTGTTTCAATACCTAAATATTAACAACCTAATATTCATTATAATAGATCACTATAAATTTTTAAAAGTCCACTGAATCTGTAGAATGTAAAATCATACTGCATAAAACACAAATCACATTTTAAGAAACATGAATTAAAAACCTCAGAAATTCTGAGAAACCTCTGATACAAAAAAACATCTGAGAATAATGGGAAGGGAAAGGTTAGGAAGAAGTCAGGAGATAATCAGAGGATAATTTCTAGTGTGTTAATGGTTAGAAGAGAAGCAGTGAGCAAGGACAGCTGACAGAGGAAGCCTCCAGTTAACTAGGCTTACTGGCACAAATAAAACTGCTGGTATTGGAAAAGAACAGAAAAACCTTTTTGAGTTGGGTAGGTGAGAAAGAAAAGATGGGTGAAGACAGAAACTGTAATGTGAGAATACATTATACTGATAAACTGCCTTTGAGCCACCCACTTTAAATCAATAGGAAAAACAACCCCTTACATAACATGTAAAACCATTCATATCAAAATTCACTTGCAGGGGGCAGTGCCCGTAGCTCAGAGGGTAGGGCACCGGCCACATGCATACACACAGATGGGCAGGTTTTAAACTGGCTCAGGGCTCGGCGCCTATAGCTCAACCGGCTAAGGCGCCAGCCACGTACACCTAAGGTGGTGGGTTCGAATCCCCAGCCCGGACCCGCCAAAC